ATATATCATATATTTTAGTAATGAAAAATATTGTGGATAAAAAACGTCCAATATAGACATGAATATTTTCAAATAAATTATATTTTATTAAATTTCTCGTCTATTATACGAAAGCAAAAAAATTTATATATATTTAAATATTTATCTTAAATATATTCTTCCATTTATATGATTATTTCTAAATTATAATTTTCAATCTTTTTTATAGCATTATTTTAGTAAAACTAATAAATAAATATACATTTATTAAAAATTAAATGTCACGATTTTTTCTAAGCGCAATCACACTTTTGTAGAATAATTATAGCATTGATTAAATTAAATTACTTGAAAAATTGAACTTTTCATTTATTTAATTTTTGATTGTTATTTACAATACGGTAAATTGCTTTTATCTCGATTCCATAATATTTTTAAACATTTCGGAATTACGATATCGCGAAGCAATTGTTTTTGAATTTTCCGCCTGTAACGTCATGTTATGATCACCATTTTATAATTCTAGCCATTCTCCTGCCACTTCGGATTTGCTCTTTCCGGCTTGCTCTCTCGCAAAGGTGCGTGGTGTTGATGATTCTGTAACAATTTAAGTAAAATTATATTTTGTTTTAATAAACAAATACAATAACTTATAAATAGAAATGTACGTTAATTTTGCAGTTTCTATGATCTCCGATTATTGAATTTGAAGATGTGTTCTAGTGTTATGTTAACTTCACCCATGTCGCGTGTGTACATGCGTATTTTTGCATGTGTTAACTATTTTATCGAAATAAACTTTCCTTTCAGATGCCATCTGTAACGTTAAAGGACGTCGATCAGCAAAAATTCGTGAAGGCCTTTGCAGCCTTTCTTAAAAAGTAAGTAAGAAATTAAGTTATTTAAGGTTAATATAACCTAACTACTCTTGTACATATGCAATATTCAGAATACATATTAAATATTTCTTGATATTTTTATCTGTTATTTAATATTACTTAATATTATTTAATATTATTTTTTGCAATTTTATCCTTGAAAGGATCGTTACATTGCTCTATATTTTTAAAAATAATATATAATCTTATATCTCATAACTGAGATATATAACTGTCACATCTTGTTATACTTTATAATTTGATATCATATTTTGTAACATTCTAGAACTGGCAAGATGCGTGTGCCAGAATGGGTAGATATTGTGAAGACAGCAAAATTCAAAGAACTGGCTCCTTATGATCCTGATTGGTATTATATCAGATGTGCTGCTCTGGTGCGTCACATCTATATTCGTAGTCCAATTGGAGTTGGTGCTGTCACCAAGATCTTTGGTGGACGTAAACGTAATGGCACTCATCCTAGCCACTTCTGCCGATCGGCAGGTGGTGTTGCACGAAAGGCACTCCAAAGCTTGGAACAGCTGAAGCTAATCGAAAAGGCACCTGTCGGTGGACGCAAATTGACCAGCCAAGGACGCAGAGATTTGGATCGAATTGCCGCGCAAGTTAAAGCTAAAAGCAAAAAACAGCTTAAACTTCAAGAAGTTGTAATGTAATTTTATGTTTCTATAATAAAATACATTTAAATACTTAAATTTTGTTTTGTGGGTTCTGTTTATCCTGCAATACAGTTTTATTGCTGTGATTAAATTTATTGAATAGTATCTAAGAATCAGAAGTTATAGTAAATTTATATTATTGTCATTATTGTTTGTGTTTCAATCAAATTTATAATAATATTTAATGATGCAACTGAAAATATATTGAAAAGCACACAAATACAGTATTATTATATTTCTTGTGAAGATATGTTTCTATAACAAACTTATAATAATTTAGTAAATATCTGAAAGAAAAAGATTTGTCTATCGATCTAAGATACGATTCCCTTTTATATTTCTGCATTTACATAAGAGCATTGATGAAATATTAAAGATTGTTAACTCTAAATATGAAATTTTCATTAGAGTAATTGAAGAGTAATTAAAGAGTATCAATTATTGATACAAATTTTTTATTGTTTATATAAATATTTGAATAGTTATTAAATTCATGATTTTTATCATATGAAAACTTTACAAAATATACACTTTATAGTTATACTTCAGTGTACACTTGTGTGTATATTATACTTATAACATAGTATGTACTTTTTACATAATATGTAAAAATATCTAGAAGAACGGCAATTTATAGTTATATATACGGCTGAATCTTCTTTTTAATTCATTTTTTTTTAATTTATATATTTCTAAGACATTTTTAGTGTTAAGACACTTACTAGTTAATGTTTATATCATATAATATGGCATAAATGTTTATATCATATATATGTAGTTTAAGATTTTTTTTCTTATAGTTATTGTTTTTATGGATAATCAGACATGAATGGTAACTTTAAAAATACAGTTTTAAATAAAATTAAATATCAAGTCAAGTTGTATATAAATATATATTTAAGATACATTAGAATAATAATAAATTATAAAATTAATATGATTGTTTAAATTTTAACATTCGCGCAAGCTTCTATAAGATTCAGATTCCATAAGCTTTTATAAGATCAATCAGTATTTTGTCAATGATAATATGTTATATTTTAAAATCGCGATTCGAAGCATTCGTTTGATCTCTTCAATTCCCCGCTTCTCTCGTTTCGCGAGTCGCCGTCGCCGTCGCCGTCATCGCCGCAGATTATCGACCGTTCTAAACACGCCTTGTTTCATGGCGGATACGACCGGGCTGATCGCGCGCGCGCGTCGGCAGCGCCGCCTCAGTGGAACTTTGGCCGCAGTCGCGAGTGTTTCGGCGGTACTCGGCACCGACCGAGGCGGTTAGGTGCGCGATTAGGTGCGAGATCGGAGTGCGAAGGAGTAACCGCAGACGCAGCTGCGTACGCGCGCGCGCGTACCGGTCGGTGTGTGTTTTTTTATACATATGTGTTCGTGTACGTAGGTCCGTCCGTTCGCCGCGGTGGTGTGCATGCGCGCATGTACGTATGCGTGGTGATTCGCGCTCTTCGCCGACGAAGAGAGCGAGCTGTCCCTGTTGCTGCTGCTGGCTAGCTGCTGTTGCTGCTATGCGTCCCTGCGACGGCTGGCGGCTCATCGTGACTATGTCGCGAAAATAATCGCGCCGGTCCTTCTCGCGAGTGTCTCTCTTTCTCTCTCTCTCTCTCTCTCTCTCTCTCTCTCTCTCTTTCTCTCTCTCGTACGCGCATCCTCTTTCCTTCACGCACATACACGCTCTCTCCGTTTCTTTCTCTTTCGCTCCCTGTCACTCCTCGTACCGGGACGACGTTCATACCGTGCGTCACGGAAAACAGCGTTAGACGGATAAGAGAGGTAGAAAAGGTGATCGGGGTGTCCCCCGCGGAATTCATGGTGAAAGACGACAAGTGAAGTGAGCGGTGTCCGCGAAGTGTAAAAAGTGCGCGCGGTCACCGACGACGACGACGACGACAACGACGACGACGATCAGCGAGGGGGAGTCGCGGTGGCGAGAACCGATCCGCCGAGGGGACAGCCTCGCTTGCAGCTGGGCGCTGAGGAGGAGGGGAGGGGTGGGCGGCGGGAGACGGAACAACTGACGGAAAACGAGAACGGGCGGAAAGATGCCGGGTCTGATCGCCGTGAGCGAATTCGTCGAGGAGACGAGGGAGGATTACAACTCACCCACCACGTCCACTTTCGTCTCGCGAATGCCACAGTGCAGGCAGACCATCACATCCCTGGAGGAGGTAAGTAATAACGATCTTATGATGACAACATCATCGTGACGGCCGTTTCTGTCGAAACATCGATTGATCGAAACCTGACCGAAATTCCTCTCGTTTCTCCCTACTCCTTTCAGGGGAATCAAGCGCGATTGGCGCCAATTGATAATCACGGAAACCGCCGACACGATCCCCCGACATTTTTGCTCCAATTTTTGTATATCTTTGTCCCAATTTTTCGTGCATTTTGTCGCAATTTATATTTTTTTTTATAGCAAGTCTAAAGTCAAGATTGTGAATCTCGGGTCTCCTTATTTCTCTGCGTTCCGCCACCCCCTCGTACAACGTCCTCTCTCTTTTTCCGTGTCAGCGTTAACCATACCGGGTCGCGACCGGTGGTGGTCGTCTCGCGCGCGCCTTTCCGTGCGTGGGCGTGTATAATAACGTATATCGGTCGCCGTGATACGCACCGGGAACGAACATTTCGTCGACATCCTCGTTTCGAATCTGCGAATCTCTCGATGATCGATTACGAACCTGACCAACGATTCGACGATTTCCGTACAAGCCAGAAATCAACCTCGCTTTCGAGCTTTCGAGACTCCCATTGACGAGCGCATTGACGAGCGCATTTGGCGTGATTAATAATATACACGCTTGACACGCTTGACACGCGAACTTTTGTCATCGCTCTATCGGAAGCTTACCAGATGGGACAACCTCCCGTTGCATCGTCATGCATCGCATTGTCACTCCTCCCCCCCGTTGTCATAGGTTTAATTAAATTACACTTTATTCCGTTACGCCTCGTCACGCGAAAATTTTAACAATCTCCTACGGGGCAAGAAGAGGGGAGGGGAGGGGAGGAGCATCCACTTATCGTCGCCTATTATCGTTAATATTTCAAACGTGGAGATGATGCTAATGCTGAAGCATTTAAAATCGCGAGGTATCCGGCAATCGGCGCTATTATTATCGTTGCACGTGCTCTGAAATCCGATTTTCCTCGCTGGGAAACTGGCCGCGTTATCGGCTTATATTCTTCGCCGGCTTCGTTTTCGACGGCTCGTTTTCTTGCGGCATTGATTGAACGACGACGGAGCCAACGACGTTCTCGCGCAAATCGCGATTCGATTTGACGCAGCTCCAGAAATATTAAGAGAGATAAAGTAACGTGACGATGGGTTACGAGGAAAAGCAGCAGCAACGATCGACGTCAGATACGTAGATATTTCAAGTATGTAGACAGCGACGTTCTCAAATACCAAGAGATATAGCATATTTTTCTACGGGAACGTCAACGTCACGAAACATCATCGTGTCGTCAGCTGTCGGAACGCGATCATCGCTTCGCGTTGACGCTCCTAATTTTCGCGAAATAATGATCTGATGAATCTGACGTATTTCTATCAAATAGAACCCGGGTAACGGCAGTCCACGTCGCAGAACGTGTATTTCTGTCTGCAAATACACCGGTCAACATAACGAGAATAATGCAAATATTAGACCTATACAAAACTCATTTTTTTCCGCTGAACAGAACAATGGAACGAATTTTAATTGGAATTTTAATAAATTCTTGAAAATGAATGAATTTGGCGAGAAAAGATAAAAGGCGGGATGAATTCCTAAATAAGAACTTTATTTAAATATTAATTGCCATTATTTAAATATTTATGGGTTGATTGTTGAAGCGATAATAATCTCGTTTGAATATGCATGTTTGTATTTGGAAGGATTGTTTGATTGTCATTTATTCGACATTATGAAAATGTAAAGTTAATAGTAGAAATATTTGGAAAAACGTATCGATACTCATAGCAGGATCAAGGAAGATTGACTGATTCTCCGCGATTATTCTTGTTATGAACATATTGCTTTAACCATTTTGTTTATGAGGCACTGGTATATTATTTCATCATTCTACACATATACTGATGCAATGATAGAATACGAGCCAGTAATGTTATATATGTTGCCACTTAAAGAAAAAAATAATAATAAAACGAATAACAACACGAAGATTAATTTTTTATCACGCTTGTAATTAATATTATTTTCTGTTATATAGCTAGATAAATATAAAGGGT